TAAAAGCACAAGAAAAACATATTTAGTAGTGCCCAGCATGCGATAGCCAAATATATGCCAAAGGTGCTTTTTCAGGAGGCAACTGGACTTTCTTGTTTTTTCTTTGAAGACATTTTACTTCTCATCCAAGAAGTTTCTTTATCTCATACAGGATAATGGGAAATGAAAGGATTTATATTCCTTGCAAACAGCTCTAAACTGTAGACTACAGGAACAAAGAGCACTACTCTGCTGACCCTGAGGACACAGATAAACCACCAAGAGCTTCAATGACCCTCTAAAAAGATGCAAATGACCAGCTGTCTGCAAGGAATATAAACCCTTCCATTTCCCACTATCCTGTCAGAGGTGAAAAAGCTTCTTGGATGAGAAGGAAAACATCTTCAAAGAAAAAACAAGAAAATCCAGTTGCTTCCTGAAAAAACACCTTTGGGACAACCATGACCTGGATGACTGAGAATATCTATAGATTTAAATATACAAATATATTAATTTCAATTAAGAGTTTTAGTATATTTAGTGTATGATGAATCAATTAGCAAAATTCCTTAAAATACACAAGTTAAGGAACTATTAGCAGAATAAAGTCATGGTCAACTAACAGTTTAATTGCAAACTTAACAGTTGAAGGAAATGTGCAGAAGAACTGAAGGACATGTACCATCATAAAAACAAATTTCCACATCTGCAGGAGCCAAATTTTCCATCAACATGCACTTGGCATATCTTGAATAGAAGGTGACTTTGGGTGTTTTGGATCTTACCAACTGCACAAATTTGGCAGCATATTGATACTTTTTCCAGTACTTCTCTAAAAGAAAGAAAAGAAAGTTGTTACAGTTCAGTTTGTCTTTTTACTTATAACAAACAAATATATCTTGATTTTAACCTAAGAAAATCATTTTTCCCTACACTCTTCATCCCCATATAGGTAAATCATTGCATATTTCATTTCTTTTCCTTCCTTTGTTTTGATATATCTCCTATGGGGCATAATTCCAAACTTCATTCATGTACAGATTTATGCTTATGTACTGCTATTATTTTAAATTGATAAGAAAATGCACAAATCATTGTGGCAACCTTATTATTATACAGAAAGCATGAGGCAGTAAACTTTAAATAACATGGTGTCTACTAAAGCCACTTGAAAAAAACTTTGAACAAGTTGCCAGAATAAATAAATCAGCCTCTATGAATATGCAGCGCTCCTGATAAATCTTCCCTTTGGGAACTTGACTTACTGATCTTTCTAAGGCTATGCAGACCTGGTTTTGATACTTAGTCAAGTGTATGGTTGAACCCATATCACACCTACTTCTATTGATGTGTTAGTTGATTTTGTACCTTGGCAGCCATATATATTATTTATTGATTTGCTATGTTTTTAATTCTGTAAATACTGTTATCTTCCCAGTCATAGATTTAAAACAGGTAACTGTGGATGAGATGGAGGGAGGGTAGAGAAGGAAGGAAGGAAGGAAGGAAGGAAGGAAGGAAGGAAGGAAGGAAGGAAGGACAACATGATTGTTGGGCATTTCTAATAGGATGACAGAACTGTGAAAAACTAAAGTTAATCCTAGAGACAGGTCAAAGTAAGAAGCTTCTGTCCAAAGAACCATAAAAATCAAAGAAGCTTCAGTGGCACCTGACTAAAACAATACATGGAAGAGGAACTGCTCAGGAACTGATCTCAATTAGTTCAAAGTTAGTATTAGCAAAAGTCCTTTAACAAATTTTAATGTTTATTCCAGTAATTCAATATTTTCATTTAACAAGTTTAGAATTAATTTTAATAATTAAATTTAGCACTGTGAAGCAATGCAGGTAGGCTAATAAGTTGCTGCATATTAACAAAAGTAATTGTTGACTTACAATAGCAATTGAGACCAGAATTTCGGTTGCTAAGCAATGAAGTTGTAAAGTGTGACGTTGCTTAGTGATGGCAAACCCGGCAGCCCCAATTGCTGTTGTTAAATGAATCGCATGGTTGATGCGACCAATGAGGCAACCATTGGCTGGCTTCCCACAACCAAAATCATTTAGGAAGTTGGCAGGGAGTTATAGGCCACAGGAAAGTAAGTAAGTCACTGCTGCCAAGTGAGGGAGAAAGCGAGGGGATACGTGGAGATGTAGGTGAAGATTGGATATAGTGTGAGAGACGCATAGTGTGAGTGCAGGACGTTGCAAATGGGAGCATGAGAGGCACAGTGCAGGTCAGGGATGATATATTAAGGACATGTACAAGAGGTATGGCACAGGTCAGGGCCATAGGGATGCACAAAAGGCATTGTGTTGGTGAGGGAGAGTATGTGTAAGAGGTTTTATCTGAACTTTCACATCTCATGTAATGAACAGAAAGTATACTTTGGAAGCACAAAATCAGTAATAACAATGTTTTTAAAAAGCTATTTATTTAATGGGAGGTAATTATATCTTTCAAAGCAGTTAAGGAAACACCTTTGAAAGATAGTTATGATTATGGCATTAATATTTTCAAAAGGCCCCAGTATGCAATTGATAGATGATACATATATTCATATTATATATAATACACACACACACACATATACACAGATACATATATACACACACATAATACATATACATACATACATACATACATACATACATACATACATACATACATACTGTGTATATTTATATACCTGCTGACACAGAGGATAGTAGGAAATTGAATGAATGAGTTGAGAAAAAATGGTAAATTATCATATTGCACATTCTATAACTTTTTAAGACATCACTGTAAATCATAATTCTTTAGATTACTGGCTTATTCTCAATCAGCAGTGTACTAATATACGCTGATCAATCATTTCCACTTGTTCTTGATTTCATTCTGCGTCAATCTGATTCCTGTCACAAATTTTATCCAAAAATGTGATCTTAAAAGAAAAACAAATTCTAAACGACTCAAAGAAATTATAATTACCTGGCAAGTTATCAAAGCTATATACATTTAGGTGCTCAGGAGATACCGGAGGTCTGTCATTAAGAGGAACACCTATACCTTCATTTGGATGGTAAACTGTGACCTTAATATACAGGAAAAAAAGTCTCATTAAATTAAATTATAAAGTAAACAACAGTTACACAATAAAGACTTCAAATTAAAACTGCATAGGTTCTCAATTCAAACTAATTTTCTCTATAATGCTTTGCTATCTTTATTGACCAACATCATCTGCAAATTTTACAGATACAGATTTAGAGATTTTAAGATCTTCAGCTGAATTCTACATAATATGGTAATGTTGGCATAAACACTTAGTTTAGTAATATTTAAATTAGAAACAATAGAAATTAATAGTTACCTCATTTCCATCAGGAGAAATCTTTAGTACTTCTTTTACAAACTCCTGTGAATTATATTCCTTTAGAAATTCCATACACACTTCTCCTGTATCTAGAATACTCACCTAGAATATATGTTGAAAATCAACAAAATATACAATGCAAGAAATCTAAAGAAAAATTTCCTCCACCAAATATACATCATATCTGTAGTCCCAAAGTCATTTATAATATATTACATATTGCTATCAACCTAAACAGAAAAATCTTTTTATGTCACTGAAAAGTGATTTCAGTTTTATGACAACCAATATACTAGACATGGATATTAGTTGAAAAAAAGGAGATGATCAATGGAAAAATATCATGAGAGTTAAACCAAAAGATTTGAACTAAAGATGAGTGGTGAAAAAAATAAAACAGCAGCACTCGAATAGAGACAGATGTAAAATTAAAAATTAAGGATTGTGAAGAAGCCTTTTGAGTCCAATAACAATTGGAAATGTTAAAGCCAATTATATGTGTTGCTGTCATTCCAAAAAATAGTTGCAAGCACCACAGAAACATGCAAGATTATACCAATTTTATCTTTTTAGGTACTGAATCTGAACAGAAATTTATCTGCATAAAGATGCTAGATCAGCCAGCACTAATTTTATTTTCATGTTCCACTGACAACTTTTTACTCAATTTGTATTTCCACTGAGGGAAATCCTGAGGGTACACGTTTTGTAGCATTGAGAACTAAGTCTGTACTCTGCTTATAAGCAACAGAAATAAATTGAATCTATGTATTTATTGTTTGTACTCAGCATTTAACGCAATGCAAGAACAGAGCTAATCACAGATAGTGGTTAATGTTTGGGGTTCAGTATTTTACAAGAAAAAAAGAATGTTAATCATAAACACTATTTTATACTTTAGCAATTTAGACATATTTAAGCATGATTATATTTATAATCACATTATTTTTCTAAGCAATTTCTATAACACTATTACTTTTCTATTTTACTTTTTATTTCTGCAGATATATTTAGAAACATACAAAGTTCTTACCACAGCATTTTTTGTTTTCTGCCTTATTGGTTTCAGTCTATGAGCACTCAGAGGAGATATGATATTTCGCAGGAGAGGTTTTGGGTGTCCATACTGTGATGCTTTGTCTCTGTTTTTGATTTCAGACATAAGATGGAGACCAAATGCAGGTGCTAGCAGGGCCTTTTCAGATTTACTTGGAAGTCTAGCTGTATATTTTCTTAATTCTTGTGGTCCCACAGTTGGTGCAGAATCAGGATAATTTTTATGTTGTGAACTATTTCTCGCTGTCTTTAGAGCCTCTTGAGGCATACCAAGATAGAACTGACAATCCCCATTTATTTTATATGAAGGTTCTGATACCTGAACTGAAGTAGCAAAATAACATTTTAATCATTTTGGAAATGCATTGTTGTTAAGGAATTTTTCCTTAAAAAAAGAAAAGAGTACATTTTCTTTTAAAAATAAATCAGGTTAACTCTTTCATAACTGATACAGCATATAATTTTAATCTAAGTTCAAATTCAAATATGAAAATGTTCAACAAAGTTCAATTCTACTTAAATTGCCTGATTAAGATAGCATATATTATTATATAACTGATAAACTAGGTTTCTTACTGTGTAAATTGTTTTCCTAAGTATAAATGAACAGCAATAATATTTCTATTTACAATACTTAGAATTTGAATTTTCCAGCATTCAGTATATACTGTATATGCCCTGATCAGATTTCTGTCAGTCTCCTTCATTAGAAAACATCTAATTATGTGGGTTCTTCCTTTCAAGATAAGCATATGGATAGGGAGTGGTAAAAATCCCAAAAACTATCCTGATAAAGTGTATGAATTAACACATCCCTTCTGTCAAAGTAGAAATGCAATTAAGAACAAGAATTGAAAAGAGCATTATCCGAGGATTCAGATAATCCTAACTGTTTATCCTTGGTTTCAATTCCCAAAGGGTTTCCTACTAATTAAAGATGCTTAAGATTTAACTACCATAGTTTTAAATTACAGCTCTACGTTTGTATTCTTTCAATTCCTGCTGTAATGTGATGCAGTGGAAAGAAAACTCCTCCTTCCCGTCTGTTCCTATTATTTCCTCCCCCCCCCACATATGAACTAATGCTAATAATTACTTATTATATATATATTTCCAGGCAATGCCTAAGCTTTTTGAAGCAAATAACATTTTAGTTTTGAAAAATAAAATAAAAATAGTTAAGAAAAGTAACAAATTTTAAGGACAGATGGGGACAATTCTAATTTTGGTTGAAAGAGTAGTTAGTACTCTTTTTTATTTTCAAATTATGTGATCTATTTAGGAACACCTGTTTGTTTTCATTCAAATATCAAAACATTTTGTATCAAGTGAAAGCTAGTTCCTACATTCCAGAACTCTGCATTATAATCAAGAAATCAAATTTGGGATTCAGCTAAGGATGAATAAACATATCTCAACTCAGACGTAAAGACAGAGAGTATAAAGTATGCTCTCTGTGATTCCATTCACCATCACCCTGCCCCTTAACTATACATGTTCATTGTTCCTGAATATATTTGGCAATAATAAAGCGACTCATATTAATATCAAATATGCTATCCTGTCCCAATTGCAACTATAATATTGCAATATATGTATGCTTGAATATATACAAGGACTACGTCTTTCTTCTGCTGTACACAACAGGCTTAGAAAAGCAACTTCTTTTAGAGTATATTTACTCTTAAAACAATCTCTCCCATATTCTCTAACCTCTCCCCCAAGCAATTTTCTATCTTTTACATCAATATTGGATATGTCCACAAAGTTTTCCTGCAAATTTTCATTTTAGGAATTACTTGTTTTATACAAATTTAATGTACTCAGATAAATAAATCCATACCACCAAGCTGTATATTTCCAAGCCATTGCTGCATTGTTTCAGTTTGAGTCTTCAATTCTAAGAAAGCATTGTCAGCCTTCATTGTACAGGGAAAATCTGAACTGAAAACAAAATATAAGCACTCTCCATTAAAATGCACGCAAATAACTTGCTAATCTTTAAATATTTATTTAATGGGATGGGTTATAAATCAACATAATACAATATAAATAAGTATTTCAGATAGAAGTTGCATTTTAAATTGATAAAGTAGCTGGCTTATTTCTTTAAACCACATTTAAGGGTTTCAGCTTACGTTTGTTCATCTATTGAACTGTAACTGGATACAAATTGAAATGTACATTTCTAATATTACACCTGCAATGAAAGTATTAGCAAACATATTCTAAATCATTATTTATCATTACATAAAAGAAAGATAGTACATTATAGAAAACCCACTTAAACCCAATCAAAATAAGATTTCAATTTTTACCAAGGCTGTTGTTTTGTAGGTGGTGAAAAATGTTTTTCCACTGAGTCACAGTTAGTGGGAAAGTCCTCCTTAAATACAATTGGGAAGTCACAATAACAATTTGCAGGAGAAAAATCTTTTGTATTTTCTTTTTGTCCATGTCTTGGTTTTGGGAGGATTTCCAAGGACTGGCATCTTTCCACTTGACTTAATATTTCTGAATTTTGACTATGAGATGTGCCTGATCTTTCAGACGAGTGGGCCCTCCTGAGATAGCGTGAATGAGGTCTTTCTTCAATTAGCTGCATTGTTCTTCCCCTTCCAATATTGACAACTTCATTTATTGGAAGTCCCTGATTGTCGTGTGGGCTTCCACAACCAATTGCCACATTGTTAGTACTTTTGTGTTTAGGAAAAACTGTCATTTTGTTGGGAAGTGGATGCTCGATTAAAAGTCTTTTCTTTTCTTTTAAGCAGCCACTTGTACTGACACTGGGAGAAGCAGTGGAAGCGATAGAAATTGTGGCATTTCCACTATCCATTGAGTCTTCTACGTTTCCTAAATCTTTACTTCTTACTGACCTACCACTGGACATAAAAGGATGATCCAATACAGATGAAAGGCTTAAACGATCTGCCGGGTTTTTTCGAAGTAACTGATGAATGAGATCCTGAGCCTCTCTTGACAAAAACGCTGGCATTTCATAATCTGCTAGTACAACTTTGCTCAGAGTATTCTTTACTGTATCAGTATCAAAAGGTGGCTTTCCAGTCAGAAGTGTAAAGAACATGCATCCTAAAGACCAGACATCAGACTCAAGCCCATGTGCACTTCTTGTAGCTATTTCTGGAGAAATATAATTAGGAGTCCCACACATTGTATAATGCTTTTCGTGAGGCATTTTCAGTTGTGTTGCAAGTCCAAAATCAGCTATCTTGATATTCATATGGTTGGTGAGTAAGAGATTAGAGAGTGTAAGATCCCGATGGAGTATTCCATGGGAATGCAGATATAACATCCCTGTAATAATTTGATGCATGAAGTTCCGAACTGTATAGAACAAAGAGAGATACAGGATGCTTTAAGTCTTTCTCATATCAAATACATATTGTACACATTCAGAGAGAAAGCTGACCCATTCACAGAATTCATAAAGATAGGATTTAAGAAAATCTCAGCTCTGTCTGACTCAGCCTTCCATTCTTCCGAGGTCAATAAAACGAGGAGCCAAATTATTGGAGGAATATGCTGACTCTGCTTAGAGAGAGCTATAAAGCACTATGAAGCAGTATATAAGTGATACTTCTATTACTTATCAATCTCAATTAAAAGCTTCTGATTTATAGAAAGAGCAAAGAATAAAAATTCAGTTTACACTACAAGGAAAACAATGTCTGGCCTTTTCTTTCGAAATCCCATTCTTTTTTTTGTGTGCAAATGTTACTAATAGTAAACTCTGAAACTGAATTGTTTCTCAAGCTGAACTTAGTTATATTATATTAATTGTGAAATTGCACTTGGCTCAATGTACAAAGTTATAATTGCAGTATTTGGAAATTTCAATTTCTGAAATTCAAGTAAACATTTTTATGTAAAAGTTTTAAAATGCATATATTTTTGTATACAATCAACATGTAGGAATCTTACCTTCTTCTTCAGAAAAGTGATTCTTCCTATTTTTTAAATATCTGCTCATTTCTCCATTATGGCACATCTCAAGTATCAAATACACATAGTTACTATCTTCAAAGTAGTTATACAACTAGGAAAAAAAATAGTTATAACAAGTTAAACCTTACTTAGAGATGTTCAAGTTCTAAAGGTTAATTTCTTACCTCAAGTATGGAGGGATGTTTTAGTTGACAATGAATCTTCACCTCATTTTGTACCCTTTGTACCATACCAGCTTTGTGCATAGCTTTTTTGTCGATCTAAAAAGATAATAAATCTTTTCAGCTTATATACAAGAGTGAAAATAAGAATGAGCAAACACATTTAACAGTATAATGAATAATAACACTATTATTTCAGGTACAGGTTGCTTTTTACTCTCAAGTCATAGTTTTGAATGACTTCTGCTATTACAATCTCATGTTTGATCACAGAAAAATGCATGAACTGAATCAAAACAGCATTACTTCCAGTATATTGTTAAGATTTGCATCTAAATATGCTTTGAATACCTTGTAAGACATATGGAAATATAATGAACTTTATCAAAAGCCAGCGTCTTACCTTAAAACATGGTTTGGCTGTTGTTTTAAGGTTAAATAGCAATCAAAGGGGGGGGGGGGCAAACTGGGATATAAATGTACTTTTTACATTGTAAGTTTTTTGTGGCAATAAACATCATTTCCAAACTGGTAGATGTTGAAGGACAATATTCAAACCAGTAATATTTTTAAAACTCTACCAGTGTCAGATCCTAATCAGAAATCAGCCAATCTGGTGCAAATAAAAGAATAGCAAACATGAAATGTGGATATTATTAGTCCATTAGCGTATTTATTGTTCTGCTGGTCACTTACCATTTTAATAGCCACTTCAAGACCAGTTTTCAAGGATACAGCTCTGTATACACCTGCAAAGGAACCCTTGCCTAAAAGGTTCCCCACCTTGAAATCCTAAAAATGAAAAAAATCTCATATTACCTGTTTATCAAATATTAGCCACTATTTTTTAATATGCTACATCACATTTTCCCATTCTAAAATGATTTTTTACCAAAAATTGAGAAAAAATTATTAAACTTTAACTAACAGTTTAAAATATGTTACTTCAAAAAAAAATTAATAGTGAAATGTTTTAAAATAATTAAAGTTGAGGCCAAGTAAGGATATTATAATACTGGAAGAAAAAAATTGCTTCTGTGTCCCAGAGCAAAGATTTACCAGATGCAAATATGACTACAATGTTGGACTTAGGTCTCAGTCTACAAAACTTTGTTCTACAAAGTTCACAGTATTGCTGGCTTCTTAACTTTTCTTATTCCATAGATTTTTCAAAAGTTGGCTACAGAAGCCTTCGACTCTCTCCTCCTTTGCACTATAAAACCTAATGAAAAGTCCTTCAGACTAATCTTGTAAGCTCATGAGAAAATTCCTGATTTGAGGGTGGGCATGGGGGGTAATGTAAATCACCTGCTCCTTCAACATTCCCCCCCCCATACACAATTTCTGTATCTATCTGTCTGTCTGTCTGTCTGTCTGTCTGTCTGTCTGTCTGTCTATCTATCTATCTACTCTACCTACCTACCTACCTACCTACCTACCTACCCACCCTACCAAAAGAGAACTAGCCCGTCAGTAATTTGAAGAAAAATCTTAGAGCCGCGGATTGTGCTTAGGCAGTGCTGTACCTTAATGGAGCTCTCACAAAGCAAGGAATGGGACATGCCGGCGTAGCAAACGCCGTCGCCGGGCAGAGGAGAGAGCAGAAGACTGAGGAGCCACTGCGGCATTCTGATCGGGAATCGAGCCCACTGAGAGGTCTGAAGCTTAAGCTATGCAGACCGGCGATCTTGCCGCTCTTTCTCCCGCTCCCGAGGGAGACGCGGCTTCCAACCCCCGCTTCCATAGCAGCAGCAGACGCCGCCGAGGAAA